TCCCGTCCCTCCTCCTTGTGCAGAGCGAATCTGTCATAGCCGACATCAGAGCGACACTGGAGGGTCAGGCTCTGTCCAGAGACCACGATGGGGCCCTGAGGGCTCAGAAGGGAGGGCTTCTCAGACAAACCTGGGGAGACCAGACATGAATTACAGGGGCTGCTCCTTCCATAAACCTCATCCTCTTAGCCTGTCCACAGTTCTCACGGTCTCTCTCCTTGTCTCTGAGCCAGGTGCCCCTGTACTCACCTCACCATCTCCCATAGGGCTAGAGTCAAGGCAAAGATGCCAAATATGTATCCAGTCCCTCAATCCTTTGATGAACCAATAATGGGACTCACCTGGAACCAGGAGCTCCAGAGCATCACTGGGGAGTGAACACAGGTTCAATCTGTTCCTGTAGCAGCCATAGCATCTGAACCTCCACCTCTGTGTGCGGGTCACAGGGCCCACAGGGAACAGGGCCTGGGACCACCCACTGGGCTGTGGCTGTGAGTCCAGGGTCCAGGAGAGCTTGTGATCCCCTTCCTTAGTCAGAATGAACCTGTCAAATCCTTCCCACGAGCCACACTGGAGGGTCACTTTCCCTCCTGTGGTCACGACAGGGCTGGGCAGGGCTGAGAGGTTTGGTTTCCTAGAGGATCCTAGGAGAGGAGGAGGCAGCGTTTAAATGGGCTCACACCTCCCTCTTGTCCCCCAGGGCTGGGCTGTGAGAGGGAGACACCATGAGATCAGACCCCCTTAGTGAGGGTACACCTGAGGCTGGGGCCCCTCAGTGTCCTCTCACCTGTCACCACCAGCTCCAGGGGGTCACTGCGCCCTGACCAGCCACTGGGACTGCGAAAGGAACAGCGATATCTCCCTGCGTCAGGCTTTGTCATGTGTGTGATGGAGAACTTGGCTCTGTCCCCGGGATCCAGTGTCTTCTGTTGGTACCACGATGCTGCGTTTCCCTCTTTATACAGACGGTACACCTCAACCTTTGGGGTCCCCTGACACCAGATGGTCACGGAACTCCCCAAGGGGATCATAGGGCCTGGCTCAGCCCTGATGGTGGGTTTGGGGATGGCCCCTGGGAGGAAACCAGCAGCTGGCTTTAAAACA